CGCCCTGATGTCGCCGTCGCCGCCCCGTCGTCGCCTCGTCGCCGCGCGTCATCTAAGTGGTGCCTGGCTCTGTTCAAAGGTTGCACAACATAGGTTGTACCACATGGCCTGCACTACATAGATCGCACCACATGGACTGCACAACAAAGATTGCTAGAACACACACTGTGGGGTCCAGATTGGCTAACATTCCGTTTGAATGCGTCCTCCCTGTCGCACCCTCAGACGAGTCGATTGGACGGGCTGGGCGTTCCGCCTAACCTTTCTAAACAAAGACGATGGTGGAGATTGAACTTTGCATCAGCTGCACGGATGGAAGGGCGGTCGTCTTCGGAGGGGGCTTCCGCATGCGCCATAATAGTTCCCGGTAATCATATGTGTATGTATACATACGCATGCATACACATACGCATACATATATGAGGGGCTCGTTTCCAGTAGTTCTCGCCTTGGTGCCGCACATGCTCAAAACCCCAGTTGCACTGACGGAGGCTGGCTCGTTTGCAACATGCGGCTCTCGCTCGAAACCTCCTCAACCTGTTTGATCCGAAGCTCCCGTCAGCTCAACAATCACACACAAGTGGACGGATTACTATTTTTGATACTCCTCCTGCAGGGGGACATGCCCGACCTAAGGCTATCGCAAAACATTTCCTTGGACTGAATCGTCGTCGTTGGGCTGGTCGCTAGAAGGCCGGGGGCGGATCCTCTGCAAAACGGGGTCCCGCCTGAGTGGCAGGCCCACTGAGCGCCGTCATGCACGGGGGTGCTCCCCGCAGTGGAAAGAGCAGTCCCTGGGCACGAACGAAGGGGGTGCAGCATCGCTAAATGCGTCCTGGGCTCAAAATGGCCCTGGTTTCCTCCTCCTCCTCCATCCACCTCCTCCTCCTCTTCCTCCTCCTCCCTCCTCCTCCTCCTCCCTCCTCCTCGCGCACGCGGTCAATGCCTGCGACCTGGGAGCACGACGCCCGGGGATCCTGTCGGGAAACACCATGGCCGCACAATGAATTTATTGACGGCATGCAAAGCCGCTGAGAGCCACTGACCAACGTACTGACGCCGTCGCGCCCGAGAGCGCACCGCCCGGCAGCAGCCGCCATCTGGGGGGCGGCCAGGGACGGGCACTGGGCACGGCAGCAGCTCCCGGGCGACCACCATGGACTCAAGTGGCCCCGCCGCCTCATCCGGCATGCTTGCCGCCTGGGGGCCTTTGACCTGCGCCTGGAGCCTGCTGATCTCCACGGCCTGAGCTGCCACCTTGTCGCGCAGCGCTTTGTTCCCGTCGCCGTCGCTGGCAAATCCCTGCCCGCGAGAGAGCATCCGCTCCTCTCGGAGTTTCCGTTTCTCCTTCATGAGCGTCGCCACTTTGCGCGGCCCCGCCTGGATGTGATCCACCAGCAGAGGGCGCACCATGAGGAACTCTCGCGTCTCCGAGGTCCCCATGTACAGGCATTCGTCCTCTAAGCACTCTTCGCCGCTGCTCTTGAGCAGTCTCTCTCTCTCTCTCTCTCTGCGTCGCCACTCCGCCAGCTGGGCACGCCGAACCAGCAGCCCCGCCAGCGCCAGCTCCGTCAGGCTGAGCTGGTCGAAGGTGGCACCCAGCTCCAGCGCCCTCATCGCCAGCTCGTGTTCCGAGACGCCCGCGTCGATCGCCGACAGGCCGCACTCCGCGCGCGACTTACTGCGCATGGCGCGGGGATGTGCGTCCTGCCCCGCGAGGAAGCGGACGCGCCACAGCGCGGTCCGCGGCCCCTTACAGGCCACCCACCCCATGCCGTCTCGGACATGCCCCGTACTGCGTCCTTGAAGACGCGCCGCCTGTCGCCGTCGAAACCGATCAGGATGCGCAACACACGCGCGTCCAACGAGCGCTCGGCCTGCTTCTCCGTCACGGACTTCACCAGGAAGCACTTCCCCCCGGCCTTCGCGACCCCGAGCGTGTCATAGACCATAAACCACTCGCAGCTGTCAAAGTCCGCCAGCACGTTCACCTCACCATCGCCCTTGCAGCCCACGATGAGCCATCGCCGCCCGGGGCCAGCCTCCATCCTTCCCGAACCTCGCACAAGCCCTTCAGAAGGAGTCGCTGTCCCATCCAGCGGGCCCCGCGGAGCCGCCAGCGCTGGCCGGTCCGCGTTGACCATCTCCCCAGCTGGCGGGCTCTCGCCGCATGAACTCGTGGGAGCCGTAGAACGGACGGGCCCGGCGTGGTCCGTCCCCGCCCACTCGATCGCGCCACAGCGGCCGGCCCGTCGGATCGCAGGGGACCAGCGCGTGCAGAGGTGGAACCTCCAGCTTGTGAGGGTAAACGTCGCAGTCGGGCGTCGCGGCCATCCACACCGGACTCGTAGGACTCGTCGCTGATGTACCGAGCTCTGTCTCGAGCTCGACGCCGTCTGACTCGCGAAGGAGAAGGAGAAGCCTCACCTGGAAGTCCTCGTTCGCGCGCCAGTGCACCAGCACTCGCTTCCCAGCCTGCCACGCGAATGCCATGGTGAACAGCGCCTGCGGCCAGAACACACGCCGAGCAGCAGCAGCAGCAGCGCACGAGCGTGCCGATGGCGAACACGAGCAGGAGGACGGCTCTGATCCCGCCCAGCTGCCCCGCTGCGGCCGCCAGCTGCCCGCCCTCGGCGAAGAGACTGCCGAGCCGTCAAACCCAGCCCAGCGCTATCTCGCTTGCAACGGAGAGACTGGATCGGGCCAAAAACTGCTGAAGCATGGGGCCCGTCGCTCTCAAAAAGGATTGAGCATGGCACGGCGGCGGAGGCACAACGTATCTCTTGCCGTGCAGCGGCCAAGACGATTGGGCAGGCAATGACGGTCACAGAGCTACACAGAGGAGGAGTGAGGAGAAATGAGGGACAGGGTTGGAGTGAAGAGCAGCGCAAGAAGAGGAGGAGGAGGAGCGCAACGAACACGCGCGGATGCTTCACCTCCTCGGCCGGCCGCAACACCACGACGTGCGTGAGCCACCCGGCGGGTTCCCGGCTTCGAGACGCAGCCCAGAGAGACCGCAGGACAGAAGGGAATCGCGGAGCCGATCCTGTAGAGTGATGCCGCGGCCACCCTCCGAGAGTAGCAGGCCTCTGCGCGGGGCAGCGCATGGGCAACGGCGGGGGCATGAGCCCCTGCTGCTGGGCGGCAGACGCAACTACACTGCACAGAAGCAGCATACCCTTCTTCGCATAGTTGGTCGCCTGCACAGGGTGGGCGCAGACGCGGGATGAACATGCCGGGCTACCTGTGTGAGGACGGGCCCAGCCTCGCTTTAGCGCTTCTCGGCAAAGATCGAGGACAAAGGAAAGGGTCCATGCCCTCCACTCTGAATCTTGCGTATGGAATATCGCCATACGAGGTCCACCCTCTGCCACACGTCAAACAAAATCGGATCCGTAACGATCATCATAACAACCCTCATCATCATCGGCCTCATTGCCAGCGTCGTAATCAACACCATCATCACCACCAGCATCCTCAACCTTCGGACACTCATCCTGCTCAACCTCATCATCATCATTATTATCATCACAACAACCACCACCATCATCCTCATCATCATCGCCATCGTCACCATCATCCACAGCAGCAGCATCATCATCATCAACAACAACAACAACATCATCATCATCATCACCATCATCAGCATCATCATCATCAGCGTCACCATCACCATCACCATCACCATCATCAACAACAACATCATAATCATCAGCATTCTCTCATCAGCATCGTCAGCATCATCAACCGCATCATCGTCATCGTCCGCATCATCATCGTACTGATCACCAGCATCAGCAGCATCACCAGCATCAACATCAGGATCATGATAAGAAGAAAAATAATAATAACCATCGTCATCATCACTATCATCATCATAATCGTGATCAGCATCATCATCATCATCATCATCATCATCATCATCATCATCAGCATCAGCGTCTTCAGCATCATCAGCATCATCAGCAGGAGCAACATCAGGCATCATCATCATCAACATGATCAGCACAATCATCGTCATCATCGTCACCATCACCATCACTGTCATCATCATCATCATCATCATCATCATCATCATCAGCATCATCATCATTATCGCCACCGCCATCAGCATCCTCATCATGATCGTCATTAGCATCATCGTCAGAATCATCATCCTCACCATCATCGTCATCATCACCATCCTCATCACCACTCCCATCAACATCATAATTACCATCGTCGTTATCATATTCACCAACACACCATCGTCGTTGTCATCATCAGCATCAGCAGTATGATGATCATCATCAGCATCATTACAATCATCATCATCATCATCAACAGCAGCAGCATCAGCCTCATCATCATTCTCATCATCGTCACCACCATCATTATCACCATCGTCCGCAGCAGCGTCACCATCATCCTCAGCAGCATTACCATCATCACCTTCATCTTGATCATCAACATCACCACCATCATCAGCATCTTCATCATCGTCATCGTCATCAACATGAGCGTCATCATCATTATCACCATCATCCTAATCATCTTCACCACCATCATCATCATCAGCATCATCATCATTGTCATCACCACCACCACCATCACAATCACCATCACCATCATCATCATCATCAGCAGCAGCAGCATCAACATCATCATCATCATGATCAACAGCACCAATATCGCCAGCACCACCGGCATCATCACCACTGGCGTCGTCACCATCCTCCCCATCATCATCAGCAGCAGCAGCATCAGCAGCCACATCAGAATCATCATCATCATCAGCAGCAGGAGCAGCAGAATCATCATCATTAGTTGCAGCAGCATTATCATCATCCTCATCATCACCACCATCACCACAATCATCATCAGCAGCATCATCCTCAACATCACCATCATCATCCTCATCATCATCATCATCATCATCATCATCATCATCATCATCATCCCTAGCATCATCATCATCATCATCAGCAGCATCATCAGAATCAACGACACCATAGTCCTCACCATCACCACCGTCGTCCTCGACGTCGACATCATCAGCATCCTTGTCATCGTCGTCATCCTCTCTTCTCCCCCGTTCCCCTCCCCCCAGCTCATGCTCCTGCACCTCCTCCCCCACTGGGCGGGCCGCGTCTCCAGCTGGTCTGCGATCGGAGGCCAGCGCACTCCCTCACCCCAACGAACGACCCCCAGGAACTCCTCATCCTGTTCATTTTGCTGGAATTCTGTGTACTTAACCCCCAGGTTGCCTTCCCACCGAGAAGCTTTCGGACTGCATGACCTGACCTGACCTGACCTGACCTCCTGTTTATCGTCAACCCTCCTCCTCCCCCTTACCCTTGAAGGCCCCCAGAGGCCAAAAGAGGGAAGATGTCAGACAAGAACAACCACACCCACAACAACAACAACAACAGCAGCAGCAACAACAACAACAACAACAACAACAACAACAACAACAACAACAACAACAACGACGACGACGACGACGACGACGACGACGACGACGACGACGACGACGACGACAACAACAACAACAACAACAACAACAACAACAACAACAACAACAACAACAACAAATTACTAGCACGTGGGGACACTCCGTTCTCACCAGTGCCAGGGTTTTCATAGGACGCCGGGCCAATACCCCCACTTTGTGGGGGGGCCGGTTCAAGCTCTACCACATTTCCAAACGACTCTTCGCCACCACCCACACCCAGCTTCCCGCCCTATGACGTTCGGACACTTCACTTCGTGGCCTGCGGACGACCGTGGCTACTACTGGCGCATGGGTACAGAAATTTTGAAAAATTCGTACAGATGTTTTTCGAGGACCTACGGTGCGATTCGTATGATTTTATGTTGCGCGGTGCTAAAATTCCTAAGAAACCCAATGGTTTTTGAAGATTTCGGCGTGCGCGCGCGAAGAAAAAACGAATGTGTCCCGCATGGTATTATTTGACAGGGATGATGGCCCTGGCAGGTGCGCAACCGTTGTTGGAGAAGTTCGAAGCACGTGAAAAAGTTGCT